ATGGCTCATCGATAGAAATGACAAAAACAAAACGCTGTTAATTTTGGTCTTTCCAAGTAATGCATCTCCTGCAGTCCTAATTAGTGTGGCGAGAACAGACATCGCCAAGAAATTGTGTGGGACTGGCTTCAGCTTCGTTCTACCCTGGTGAGGCTTCGGAGAGCCGGCACAACTGTTTATTTTGTGCAGGCTGAGAAAGTCCGGTGCCAGCCGAGCAGAAAAGAGGGTGCAAATTGTTCGTCAGCTATAATTAAACCTAGGTGGCATCCAGTCCATTAAGCAGCAGCCTCCAATCCTTTTAATGAATGGGTTCAAATTGGTTGGTCTGAAGGAGCTAATTAAATTTTTTCCTCAAGATTTTCAATTTCAATGAAACGATGGTGCTGCCTGCGTCTCCTCCAGAATTCTTCTCGGCGGTGTTGAGTTAATGAAGGTGTCAGCGCTTCCGGGCAGACCCTGCTTTCCCAAGGTCAGGAAGCTGGGTGAGCCCCAGGTCTCTGCTGAGACCCCATCTGTGTCTCCTAGTACTTTTCTCCTTGGAATCAGTGTGATCTGGCAGCCCAAGGATTCAGAGCCCCCCACCCTCGTGAGCTCGGCTGCTTTTCCCTGATGGGGGAGGGCAGGTTGCAGGGCTGTGCGTGGCCTGAAAATGACAATTCTGGAGTCGCCACGTTCCACGAAGCTCGATTCTTGGGACTAAAGCTTTCCTCTCTGTCCTTCCATGCCTTCTGCCACTGTCTGGCACCCCCACCCCAAACCCTGAGCCCCCCACAAAACACCCCCAACACCTAGCTATGTAAAAGCAATGGGACTCGGACCGTGGTGGACTGCTCGGGAGGAGACCATGGTAGGAGGTGCTCAGTCAGAGTAGGAGAAGAATATAGAGTAAACAACACCACAAAGAAGGCCAGGCTGACTGATCTGATGGAGACTGGGAGGACCCCGAAGATCATGGTAATAGCCTTCACTCTTGGAAGTGAACTCATCCCTCCAGCTCAGCTTTCAGCCGTATGACAGCCGGGCCCATGAGGTGAGCAGTAAGCCCAGGGCAGTGTGTCTTCCCCTCCATGTGGCAGCCCCTCACAGGAGGTGGGATTTGCCCAGGGATAGAGCTCGGGCCATGGGCAAGACAGGAGCAAGGGATGGCTGGAAACAGTAAACACAGAAAGGAAATGGGCTCAGTGCTATTATATTGCAGCAATTGCGATCAATGTCCCAAACAAATTGCGTAGGGATTGTTGAGGGGAAACCCAATTTGATAGACACGTTCCCCCAATTTGCAATAGTTCTTTTAAAAAAGAAAAATGAAGGAGATGCAGGAGCCTCCAAAGGGGAGTGGAGCATTCCCTCAGGTCCTGTAACGTCCAGGTTCCTACTGCCGTGTTTCCTGCTAGGCCCCCTTTCTTGGTCTCCAGGCGAAATCAACCCAGGGGCTACACCTGAGTCCAAATGGCCCTGTGCTTGTTGGTGGTTTGAATCCACCCGGAGGCACCTCCAAAGAAAGGACTGGCAGTCTCCTTGCAGACTGTCAGTGGCACTGGGGCACAGTGAGCAGTTGGGTGACACACTCAGCTGCTCCCTGTAAGGTGGGGGGTTTGAGTCCACCTAGAGGTGCCTCTGAAGAACGACCGGTGACCTCCCTCTGAAAAGTCAGCCATTCCACGCACGGTTTCTGACACAGAGACGTGGAATATAGGTGTTGCCATGGACTCTGCTGTAGCCGGTTTCTTGGCTACCAGTGGAAGCTCTGCCTGACCCTTCAGCTTTGCTCTCCGACTGGACCAATGAGCAGCACTGTGATACATGGATAAAAGATTGAAATTGCCGCGGAATTCATTTTACGTGGATCAGCACCCATAGCTGCAACCACCAAAAATATCCACTTGCAGATGGCGTTGGCCAGATAGGCTACAAGAGACCTCTTTCAAGTGTTCAATAAGCAGAGACATGACTTGGCAGACTCAGATCTGACTGACCCAAGCGAGAGCCTTCTTACTGGCCTCATACAGATGCAAAAGCTGGACAGTGCATTTAGGGGATGGAAGAAGAATCCATGCCTTTGAGTTTTGCTTCTGGTGGACAACACTGACCATACCATGGACTGCAAGGAGAATGAGCAAAGCTGTCTTGGAAGGAGTACAGCCAAAATGCCCCTTTGAGGGGAAGATGACAGACTTAGTGTCACATTTCGTGGACACATACACCATCAGGAGGGGCCAGTTCCCGACGGAGGACATCGCATTCAGTAAAGTAGAGGGCCAGGGCAAAGAGGTTGACACAGTGGCCGTAGCAGTGGCCAGCCTGGGGCGAGCTGGGCGCCATCTGTCCCGTTCTGTTCTGCACAGGGTCGCTAGGACTCCGTAGCACCGCTCAGGTAAACGAGGCCAAGAGTCTCAAGATTTGGCGGAAATAGAAGGTGATACCTTAAAAAAAAAAATCTATTCCAAAGGGCCTAGGGGTGTGAGTGCCTGCAACAAACTTGACCTGTTCATTTCTGGTCCCCAAACCAGTTACCTCCCTCTGTCTGTGGGAGCGCCAGCCAGTGCTCCGCCTGCGCGCCCTGCAAGCATCCTAGAGTGTTGCCCAGGTAACCCCCCAGGTTTGGACTTGGGCTCTCTCCAGCAGAACCATTCTAAAGAAGTATTGAATTGGCACCGCTTCGAGGTAGGGGTGCGGTGGGTAAAGGGCACCAGGGAAGGAGAATCAAACCTACAACCATATCCGGCCAGCAACACCCTGTTTGGCTGGGGGTTCCCCAAGATGGTGGCCACACAGTGCTGCCCTCAAACCAAGTGTCCCTTTGTCACTGAATGTGCTTATGAGGCAATCTCCAGCAATTTCAGTGGAAGAACACGCATCTCACCAAGCCCAGGCTTGGATCTGGCCCCTCATTTGCCCACGGTCCTAAGCAGTGTGAAAGCTCCCCACAGGGAGGGTATGCAGTGAGGCTTAACTGTTGCGCTGGTTTGGGACGCAAGTGCCACTGAATTGCAGCCTTTGTGAAGGGAGTACATTGTGCGGCTACGGTGGAATCCAAGTGTTTTTGCTGCCACCTTTTGGCCATGGAAGGGAAACGCATGGGCTGGGGGCTGGAGAGGGAAGCCACCTAGCTGATTGCAAATTTGGGGTCATTCCTTGCATGGAGGAAAAATAAAACCCAAGACGTTGGTGTCCCCCACTGACAGCCCATCATATAAACTGTGTTTGCTGACCTCTCATCATTTTAAAGCTGTTTACTTGCACTGTAAACAGACCACCAAGTGACCTCCCCATGCTTCGGCTCAGCGCCACTGAAAGAGCGTGTTGTTCCCTTGAGCTCCGTGAAGTAACCTTTTGTTGAGTTTAGGCCAGTGTTTTTCCAGCCCTGTCTCTGGGAGTGTGACAGCAAGATCATTGTTGGGCATTCATTTTTGTTGTTGGATTTTGTCTGATCGTTTCCTTTCAGACGCCCTCCTACTCCCTCACCACCCTCTGAGCACGTATTTCTTTGCTGATGTTAGCAGAGTGGAGCATGCAGTGAGCTGGGTGGCTTCTTGGGGGTGAAAGCTCTCTGGTAATGCATTTCACCCCTGCTCTAGGCAGACTTCTCTGGGCCCCAACCGCAAGGGGCTGAGAACTTTCCAGAATCTCCGCGGCTTTCCTTCAGTGACTGGACCACAGATATAGCCCCTCTGTGAATCTGAGATGCCAATTTTGAGGTGTGTGTTTACATGGTGTGTGTGTTTTGTCTTGCAGTTGTTTGTGGGGCTCGGGTTCCCCTACGAGGGCCCAGCTCCCCTGGAAGCCATTGCAAACGGGTGTGCTTTCCTGAATCCCAAGTTCAACCCACCCAAGAGCAGCAAAAACACAGACTTCTTCATCGGCAAGCCAACTCTCAGAGAGGTAAGCTTCGGTCAAAATACTCTCGGTTCCAGTTACACGGGCAATAGCTCTTTGTGGAGTGCTGCGAGCCTATTCAAACATCATAGCCTTGCAAAATCGGTCTTATTAGCTTCACTTATAATGGAATTGCGTGGGTTATGTGCCACCTAGCTGTGTGACTTCCCTAGCTGCGTCCCTAGCTGGTTGGTGGCAGAACCGGGACTTGAATCTTGCCTGTGCAAGGCATGCGGTCTTTTCTGGCTAGGCCAGCTCTCACGTAATGTGGATAGACACCTCTGGCCTTCTGATGATCCGCTGAGCTCAGATTTTCAGAATATTTGGAGTTGAAGAGGGAATCAGCTGGGTCACAGATACCTCGGAGAACCTGCTGTCCCTGAACAAGAAGTGGGCTGTGGGTCTTCAACAGGCAGCAGAAGCGATCGAT